CTCACCACAGCGTTAGCAGTGTTTTTCAGTTTTGATATCACACAGCTGCAACAGGAGCTGCTGTTAATTATGACCTCTCCGAAGAGACACATCAGGACTGTGTGTATTTACAACATGGGTGAGAACAACATTTGTCTGCAGGCATTAACAAAGTTCACTGCTTTTCCCTAAAAGTGGAATGAAAATAACCACTCCATCTCACTCTAGACCTCAACAAGTGACACACAACACCTCAAGTAAAGCTAAACTTCAAACACGAAGACGAGCCTGGAGGTATTTCTATTTTCTGGCCACACGTTGAGGTCTCCACCCCACATGTCAGACAGGAGACCCAAAAAACAAGCATACATTCAGACACTGAGAAAACATTCACCTCAGTCAAGGCTGCATAATCCTTTTTTGTCATAGCCTGGACTGGAGAAACCAAAGCTTAAACTGGATTTTGAAAGCATAAAACGAATAAATTCCCACTCCCTCCATGAGTACAGGTGGAGGACTTATCAGTGAAACAGTGTTGGTGTCCAGAGGAGGGCGCTACATTAAAACCAACTCATGTCGACAAACAAACAAATCCCCACATTTGCAAAGTGCCCTGTTCAAAGCCATTCTAGACCAACATATGATAAAATGACACTTTCTTGCTGCGAGGCTACACTACGGAAGATTATGAACACATAGAGGGATACATGTAATCGTAAGCCAATGAAACTGGAGGTGGATGGAGACCACAAACAGTGCGGAAAGACAAACAATGGATGCAACCATTTGATATGTTTGGCACTGCAAGCTGTTTAGTTAGAACTGCAAAATGTGTCTGCTCTTTGCCTTTGTCTGCCATTCTTGTGCCATCTGATCATCAGCTCTTGCAACATGTTCTGTAGCCTTGTGGAGACTCCAGTGATGTGCAATGAGTGCATGAGCAGGTTGGCAAGAACATAGTTAGACAGGCAGGTAGGCCATCCAAACATCTCATACAGACCGAATGTTATGATTAAACAGGCTTTTTACAGGTCTGTGACCACCACAGATAACAGATTTTTTCTTGTTTATCATTAGATACATCCATAGATCTGATATGTTCTGCTTATCGTGGGTTGGGTCTGGGAGGCAGCAGGCTAAACATGTCATTACACACATCTCTTACCCCAGCAATGATTTCCAGAGGATCCCAAGGCATCCCCAGGCCAGATGAGCTGTATAATCCCTCCAGTGAGTTCCTGGTCCACCTCTGGGTCTCCACCAGGTTGGACGATCCCAGAAAATCTCCAAAGAAAGGAACCCAGAATGTATCCTCATCAGATGCCAGACACATTTAGATTGTCTCCTGTTGATCAGAAGGACCGAGCCCCTCACCTTATCTCCAAGGTTTAACCCAACCACCCTATGGAGGACACTCATATTGGCTGCTTGTATTCATAATATAATTCATTCAGTTATTACTCTGATGCTCTTGACGATATGTGAAGGATGAAACACAGACCGACTGGTAGCCTTCAGGCTAAGCTCTGTCTTTACTTGACGATCTGGTACAACACTTGCTGCACCAATCCATCTGTCCATCCCACACTTATCCTGTCACTTGTGAACATTTCTTTGCTTATTATTTATTAGCAGAATGCTACTACAACACCATACTTAGAAAAAGCAGCTTTTGTAATCATAGTGTAATCATAGGAACCTATTCCCACCACTAATTAAATACTGCAAAAAAAATCTACAAAATGTTCAAATATTGATGAACTGAAGCTGCAAACATTATTTGATGGGTTAGGATAAGACAATAATGTTGTATCAAGTTCATAATGTGTGTAGTTTGAACTCAAGTTTTTGCTTAGTTGGTTTATACTGAATTGAAGTCGGGGAAACTTAATGAAAATGGTTCGATAACTGGATTTTTCTTCACCTTGCATTCTCGGTTTCAAGCCCCCTCCTCTTCTATAACATGCCTGGACAATTTTAAATGGATTATTAGAAACACTTGTAATTGTGGGGAAAAGCTAATCTCCCCAACTCAGTGGAATTTCATCAGAAGTTGTCATTGTTCTCAAATCGAAACTAATAACAAACTTTTTTATTTTTTGTTAAGCCAAAACAATATTTTTTTACAGATTAGACACATGACAGCTTAGTGCATTGGTACTTTAGTTCATGAGAAAGCAGTAAAAAGTGTTTCACAATATTAAAAAATCCTTCTGCAGTGTTCCTTGAGCTTCACAAAAAAACACGGGATTTGTTCCCGTAGGTTCCACGGAATTTCGGGTAAAATCTCTCGAGCTCATGACTATGACTTTTACTCACATCTGATATCAGTGTGTCACGATTACAAATCTCCTACAACTTTGTCTGCATATGACCACATGAAGTCACAACCCAACAATGGAGATGCTTCTTCATGAGCCTTCTGACGTCTTTGTGTTCCTACCAGGACGTAAAATGCTCGTGGGATGAGTTTATTCCATCTCTCTCACACACACACACACGCACACACACACACACACAGATGCAAAGCGCTGTGCCTCAGACACATAATTATATTTCCAGTATCAAACTATCCTCTGTGGACCGTAATGCCGGACTGCTCAGTCTTGCGTGGCTCACACACACACACACACACACACACACACACACAGGAAGTTGCTCAAGTTGACTGTAATTTCATTCAGATGCTCGGTTTCTAACGTGCACGTGTGTGTGTGTGTGTTTGTGAGCGTATGTGTGTGTGAGGACCGTTAGTGTGACTTACGGCTGCCATCTAGTGGCCGCTGTAAGTAGTGGCTGCTGCTAAATAAGGACGAAGCTTGAACTTTAACCTACTAAATGGATGAGTTTATATGAAAGAGAAATGTTTATTTTATTAGGAGTTATTGGATGATAAACTTAATATGATATTCAGGAAAAACAATGTACTACTGGTGATTAGTTCAGGGTGAAGAGAAATGATCTGATCATTTCAGTCAAAACCCACACAGGTTTGTGTTTGACGGGGGTCGGGGGTCAGCAAATACGCACTTGTTGCTCAGCGGCACTTCAGCCTGGAGACATGTTTGTTTCCTTGATGTGAGAGGATTTATTGTTCTGCTGGGAAATGTGTTGTAGAGGCAAAATATTGTGTGGATGAAGCAGCAGAAAGATTTTAATTTAGGTTTGAAGAAGAGGAAAACTGATGAAGCTCACAGTGAAGAACATGGGCGCCACCGTGGGATGAAAAACAGAACAATTCAGAGGTGGAAGAACGAACTTAAAGTGTCAACACGATGGCTTTTCACTGCAGTAATTTGGTTCTGGTTCAAGGTGGCACAAATGTTTACAGGAACGACCATAAAAGTTAACTCTCAGCGCACCAAAATAGTGATTACTGGAGGTAACTTAGTTCTTCACCCATATGGTGAATTTAAAGTTAAAGATCTGGGAAGACAAATTCCCTGCCTTTTTGATCTATTAGCATTTGTCTTCTCTGAGTTTTAACAATTAGCATCAGGCCCTGCACTGCAATGTGTCAGCGCTGCCTTGAAAGTTGTTCTGCAGGTGCGGTTCTAGCGTTTCGGACTACCAGTAAACGTCTCAAAAGTTCCTGCAGTAGAAAACAGCCTAAAATAAAAATACTCCATTACAAGTAAAAGTCCTGCATGTCAAACTCTACAAAAGTAAAAGTGCATGACTATTAGTAGCATTAAAGTAAAGTAATGTTTTGATATATGATTATATTTGCCATCATTGTACTGTTAATAGTGAAGCATCAGTGTGTCAGCAGCGTGGGGCTGTTGGAGCTGCTGCAGGTTGGAACTACTTTAAATCCAGTTTTATATTCAGGGACAGAAGATAAATCTGAGGGCTCCAAACATGAATAATGGGAGAGGAAAGGAAAATAAACAAAGCAAGCTCTAAAGTGTGCTGTCAGTTTTCACACTTTTCCTCAAATGTTTGATTTTTGTCAAGTTATTGGATCATTTACACATTTATTGTGATGAAACCACATGAGGAGTTGAAAAGCAAAAATCCCTGTTTGGTGGAGCTGCTAACATCTTATAGTTGTCCTAATACTACTTTTTGTAAGACACAAGTAAAGAAAACAGTAAAAGCGCTGGTTTAATATTTAACAACACGCTGCGTTTTAAAATATTTTTACATCATTCATTGTGAAAAAATGTCGTGAAGCAGAAAGTACAATATTTGCCTCTGTAATGTGTGAAAAGGAGGTTTTAAGCAGCATGGAAAGGAAATATTCACATAAAGTGTAAGTACCTAAGAATCTATTTAAGGACAACTTACATCAATGCACTCTCCATCAATGTTCATGAAACTGTGTGGCTCAGCTCTAACTAAATGCATAGTTGCAAGATTTTAAAAACAAACAAACATCAGTTTTCTGATTTAGATCAATTATTTAAGATGTAAACATTATTTTTGATGGGTTGAGTTGAGACAATAATGTTGGGAATTACACCAACTTAGTATTTTGTGTAACGTCAACTCAAATTTCAGCATGAGTTGATTTAAAACTAAACATAAGTTGAGGTAACTTAATAAAATTGGTTTGATATCTTAACTAATTGGGCTGCAAGGTGGATCAGTGGTTTGCACCATCGCCTCGCAGCAAGAAGGTCGCCGGTGAGGACACCCGGGTTCTTTCTGTGTGGAGTTTGCATGTTCTCCCCGTGCAGCGTGGGTTCTCTCCGGGTTCTCCGGCTTCCTCCCACACAGTCCAAAAACACGTTGAGGTTAATTCTAAATTGTCCGTAGGATTAAGCAGTGTATAGATAATGGATGGATGGATGGATGTTGACTAATTTCACCTTCAGGATTTCAAGCCTCCTCCTCTGTGTGAAGATATCTGGACAATTTCAGACAGTTAATTAAAAGTGCCTTTCACTGTATTCTATTAACTTCATGCAGATTTGTTGCAGTTGTCATGATTCAGAATGAACTGAACTGTTGATTAGATATATGTGGAAGATTTACATTGTTGGTAAGTCTTAAAACATTAACAGCAAAAAAAGTTATTTATTTATTCATTTATTTATTAATGATTTTAAGAAATTCCACTTTTTATTTCATTCAGGATCTTCTTTACAGTATGAAGTTCAATTATATGATCAGAACCAAACCAACAAGGCAGAACACAACTGAAGCTGGTGTATTCAACATTTATTTTCTGTCATTTTAAAAACTTGTTTGAGGACAATCAAAATATAAATACATTTCTCTCTTTCACACTCACACACAGCAACTGGCATCAGAACACACACACACTCACACACATACCTGTGTACATACACACAACCCCTGCCCCTGATTTAGATGTTAAAAGGTGCAACAACCAGTCGTCAACAGCTGAACTGCCATGACCAAAACCGCATCAACCAGACTTCTAAACACAGAGAGAAGAAATATTTTCATACGTAGGATCATCAGAGTGTCTCTTTACAGCCGTAGTACTAGAACATCTGTTGTAACCTGCCACACTGACATGAGCTGCAGTCACAAACTCACAGAAGATTTTATTTTTTTTACATCGTCTCCCTGCTTCATCGTTAATAAATCTGTAGAAGAGTTGAATCAGAAGGCGAGTACCATTAAAAACCAGGTTTGGTCCAGTCCTGCTTGGTCTGACTGTCTAAAGTGCCTTCAGATATGAAGTACTAACTCGTCACATATATAGTAAACAGACATCATTACTTCTTCCAGCAATGACTTTGGCAAGAACTGTTCTGATGACACTTTATACAGGCTAATTTGTTAACAGCAAACTGAACTGTGTCCGAGTTGAGGTCTAGTGAGACTCTAGTTTTATTTTTCCTTTGAACACAGCCGGAGCAAGAGTTTCTGATTCCTGACTGTAACGGCAAAAAATAAAGGTGACTCACTGTTGGACTGTGAGTCGAGTCTCCCCAACATTAAGAACTAAAACCTCAAAGCTCAAAATAAAAAACGATAGTATGTTGGAATTATGTAAGTAATATGAAAACGGTCAGCAATGACGTCTGATTTGAAACATGGGAAACCATGAGTGCGGTCAGTAAAGTTTTTTTTTAACCAACACAGTTCTGGTTCTGTCCGTCTAATGCTTAAAAATAAACACAGAGGCAAAGATCAAACTGGCAGAAACATCTGGGCCCAACATGGTGACTCAACATGTGAGTCAGAACAAAGTGAGAATCAAGCCCACATAAGCTGTCTTCTTTGTGGTTTTGGAGCTGCCTCCCCGTCTGCCCCGTCATTCGTTCATCTGGAGCTACTGGGTGTATCTTTAACATGTCCCACAGCGCAAACAACAAACAAGATAAGTGTGCCGTTTAACAGCAGTCTAACGGAGCAGATTATGGCCCGTTAACCACAGAGTGAAACAAACAAACAAACAAACGCAGAACAGCAGACACCTCTGTCCCCCTGACGTTAAAAGTCAATCTCACCTACTTGATCTGAGTGAGCTTTGGGATTAAAAGTGTCTCCGTCCCTTCTCAGAGGCAGTGATGGATGTGTCTGTACACTATTTACAAAAGCAAAAAGATCATCTGAAGAGTTCATTTGAAAATCGCTGCATAATCACTTTGGGGGTAAAGTCAGGACAAAGGTTGTTTTTTTGATTAATTCGGGAACTTCGCTAATTGACTGAATTTCTTTTGGCATCACTCAGTTGAAAACAACAGAGAAAAAAACAACCTGCAAGTGGATGTAGAGAGGAAGTCTGAGAGATGCGTCATTACAACTACAGTGATGTTTCCTGGTTGAGCGTCGTCTTAATATTTTCTGTCCAAGCCGGCGAGCAGCAGCTGGAGTCGGGGGACAAAAGAAACTGAACCACTTGATGTGAATTTTGGCTGCAGCTGCTGGTTTGTGCAACTTAAATACAAAACAAAACTGAAGGAATTTCTCTTCCTAACCACCTCCATTCAAACTGATCTGATTATGTCATTTAGTTATATTTAAAGATAAAGGAACTCTTCACAAAGACATTTCATGAGAAAGGAACGAGCGTATCAAGAAGTTTCCCAGGTTCCAGTGCGCTGTCTAACGTTTCAGTGCAAGACCTTAATCAGGCAAAAATTAAGGAATAGCACTAAAACAAATAAAGGCCTTTTTGCAAATCTGACTAACAAGGAGTTTGTAACTTTTTGATCGATTTCATCCTAAAGTCTTACACTTTCAAGCCACTATGTGTAGAATTTTCCAGCCCTGGCAGCATCCAGACATTGTGGAATCACTTCACATTTATTATTTACTTCTTTTTGTTTTGCAGTTCCACTGGTGCTGAGCCAATCACAGTTTAGTTGGTGGGATAAAGGCTGACCACGTTATTTGCCAGAGTCAATAAAACAGCTGAAGATTTGGCACACCACAGACTGAGTGGAAAAACAACTGCACATGAATGATGAATTGCATCAGGGTGTGATCGAGCTCTGCAGGTGATTCATTACATCATGTGTTTGTTTGCAGGAACAAACCAGAGCAAGATGTGAGCGCAAAGTTGAGACAAGCAGCTTCATTAGTTAAACAGATGCAGACGTGTGGACAAAAGTTAGTTTGGTAGTTTGAGAATGGCCCGTTGGACACGTTTTACCCGACAGACTGAGTGTAGTGGAAGTTAGATATTTAACAGCTGGACTTGTACAGTCACACTGCAATAGCTGAAAATGAACCAGTCTGACTCCTGGGCACACGATGTAAACAGGTGAAAGCAACACTGAGACTGCACCGATCTCCACGGCAACTTCCCAAAAATCCTCCACAGGTGAGCACAACAATCTGCCTGTGTCGTGTCCTTACTGTATCTGCTGTAAAAGATCATATCTGCTTGCCTCAAGTTTCTTTGAAAGGGATGAATCACCCAGTTTCTTTTTACCATCAAATACTCACAACTTGATGTCTGGAGAGTGACGGCCTCAAACAGTAGAAGTCGTAGCTATCAGGGTTCTACTCCCTCCAGATTGGGTGAAGATTTTTCTGAGAGACTGAAATATCTGAACACTAGTGTGGCTGTATTCAGTAGTTTTCTTGACAACAAATCCCACAAAAACACTGAAACCAACAATGTTTTGGTCTCTCTCTCAGTACTTTTTCAGCTCCAGGCCCTTTGGTTCCTATCCAAGATTAAATATTGAAAAATCTCCTGCAAGTACGTCTTTCATTTTTTGTTAAAAACCTCCTTTAAAACGTTATTTTTTTTGGTGGTTCTTACAACTCGTTACCTAAACAGGAGGCAAAAGTGAATGAGAAGGTGACCGTTGATGTTCTTTTCAGCATTTGCAGCAACAAGTTGGTGTATGTGGGCGACTATGGTGTGCGTAGATGAAGGAAGATGTCACTCAGTGTGGCTCGTTGATGTGTTTTTAATCATTTCGGACAACAATGGGAGGAATAAGAGCTCAGAATTTGGAACCTCAGTTCATTGTTGGTTTTGCTCTTTTCAAGGGATTTGTTGACAGTAAGAAATTTAAAATATCACCAGACATATCCTTAAAATCCACAACCAAAACAATATTTTTGTAAGTGACAGATTCCAAAATATCCCATCAGACGTCAGTGATTCTGCAGAAAGACATGTGGGAACAAACTTTACATCCACCAGTCCCGGTTACAGGGGGGCCAGTAACTGATAGGAAAACAACAAAACAATTGGGTGATATGTTCCTTTAAGTCTCCGTGCCCTCTTTTCCTCGCTCCTCTCGATGAAGGGCTCGACCACAGATCCCCTAGCAGACATTCAGTGATCCGAGCGTTGGCTGGTGAGGAGGCAGGGCGTAAACAGGACGAAGGAAATCAGCTTCCCTCTGTTCCTTTGGGAAGCCTCGGAAAGCTGAATCGAAGAGGCGTCCTCCGCTCTGCTCCAGATCAATCTCACAAGTCTGATTCTGTCTCTGTCCTGCTGGCGTCAAATTTAACAGTGGAGAGGAACGTTCTAAATTCTCCGGAGCTTTTCCACGATGAAAAGAGAGACAGAGGAATTGAAAGCCTGGCTGATTTAAAACCTCTGTCTCTCTCTCTGTATTTCTCTCACTCAGTCCAACAGAAGGCAGAGAGATGGAGAGAAAACAAACTGCTTTTAAACTTCTTCAAACGTCTCTCTGTCTTTCTGTCTCTGCGTCAGTGTCTCGGTCTGCGTTGCACCGTTGAGGCCAGCGGGAGGCGCTGTTAGGACGCCTTGCCCAGCTCTATCTTCTTCTGGATGGCACGAGCCGAGTGGTAGATGAGTGAGTCGATCAGACCGGCAACTGCAAGAGTCAGGGGACAGAATACGAACCAAGAGAGTCAGACTTTGTCCACTTCTACTCTTTGAAAAACATTTTACTGTTGTGTAGCTTCTTCAGCGTGCGAAAACATGTTGAAATAGAGGCACTGACCTGTAAATACGCCTCCAATAATGGCACAAACTCCTGTTAGGAAGTGTGTGAATGATCTGAAGAAAGAGAAGGAGCTGTTTAGTAAGAAGATATTCAACCTAAAAAGCCACTTTTTAAAAAAACCTGTAACATCATCAATGTATAAAACTGTCCTGTATAATTAAAAAACACACAATCATTAGAAAACATGAACTCACTGCCACTATTGTTTCTCCTGACCTTATTTCCCCATGACTTCAGCTTTATGAACATCACTAATATCAGAGCTCCAGATTAGCTTTTTACATTAGTTACACTGACCTGTTCTCATTTAGGTGCAACCAGCAGTTTTAATTGCACCTTTTGGCACCGAATTCTATATTTAAATGTAATTTTTTTGCCCATTCCCAGACATATCGGTAATATCTCAACACATTATGAAAACAGTTCTAAACAGGAATAAAGTTGCATGATCAGGGACATAATAATAGCAAAAGGCAGCTTTTCTTTGGCAATATTATACGCAGTGGTAAACGTTATTGTCATTTCTGACTCCTCACTGCTTTGGTTTGGTGCTGCTTGGTAGAGAACCACTGCTTTAGTCACATTCTTTGCATTTAGTATGAGTAATATTGGCTGTTTTATCAGATCTAACAACATTGACTTGTTGTGATGTGTCCTGATCAGTGTGCATGCAGAAACTCATGCTGTTCAGAGGGGGAGGGTGTAATCCAGGCTGCCCTCTAAAACGCCTCACATCCAGACTGTTGGTAGATGCTATAATTAGCCAATCTTCTCTCAATGCCGAACATAGCCGCTGAGTAAAAGCCTTCAGTCACAGCAGGGCACCAACTCAGACAGGTGCGGCCAAAAAATGTGTTTGAAAAGCGTGAAATAAGGCCTGGAGACGCACAGACCTGCTGAAAGTCAGGTGCACCAGTATCCATCCATCCATCATATATACACCACTTAA